GGGATGCCTTGGCGTTGCGGCTTCTTTGCCAAGGCCGTCTTTCCCTTCTGAACCAGCTACTGTTCCTACCGTGCTGCACCCCAAGCGTGGTTTTCCGCCTCTGCCCACTGAGCCTCCTTTCGAGCCAGCCAACACATTTAACCGTTTATTTGATGCCTCCCTCCCCCTCTCTTCCAAAGACAGTTTGGGGATTTATTTAGGCATTTTAAAAAACACTCTGGGCAGTGGGATGGGGTGGAGCTTCGGACGGCCACCAGCACAGCAAGCCACGGGCATGGCAGGCAGGTGGCTCAGGGACGTGGCAGGCAGGCGGGTGGCTCCCAAGCTGCAGTGACTTTGGGGACATGTCCCCGTGCCTCGCCACGCCTGACAAACAGTTCCTGGGCAGGCTTCCCACCTGGGATATGTATTTGCATTTCTTTATGTCCTGCTTTTCTCCCCTGTTGGGACTCAAAGCACACCTGTATGAACTGTCTAGCGGTGAGGAGTGAGGAAGCTTCCCCCACTGAGTGGGATGCTTTGCCCTTTTGCACATGAGGAGGAGCCACCAAGGAGCGCTGCTGCTGCTTAGTTGTGGCCTGACGGGAGGAAGCGCAGCACTGGGATGCAGCCGTAAGCAATGTTCCCTCTGAGCTGAGTTAGTGTGAGCTAGCTCACAGTTTTTTAGCCTCCAGCTCACACATTTTTGTCTCAGCTCAGGAAGGAGGGCTCCAGAGCAAACTAATTTATGCGGTAGCCAAATTGCTCGGTCGCAACTTTAATGCTGGTAGCTCACAAAGTAGAATCTTTGCTCACAAGACTCCACAGCTTAGAGGGAGCATTGGAAATGAGGGAGGGCCAACAGGGGCTTCACAGGGCGCACAGACTTCTGACGCTTCGTTGCCCTGCAGGAAGCTGTGACTGGCCAGCTTACGTGGTGTGTTTGTGTGCGGGGCTGGCAGAGAGCTGGTACCCCTGGAGGGATTCAGTGACTGGTTTTCCTTCCCTGCAGGTAGGAAAGCGTCTCCTGGAAAAGGAGGTCCTGGAGAAGGCAGACATGGTGGAATTGCTGGGGCCCAGGCCTTTTGCGGAGAGGTCCACCTATGAGGAGTTTGTCGAGGGGACTGGGAGTTTCGAGGAAGACACCTCCCTCCCCGAGGGCCTGAAGGACTGGAACTTGGAGCGGGAGGCGGAGAGCGGAGAGGAGAGGGCTCAGCAAAAGGCGCCCTAGAGAAGGGGTCAGCGGCGCTTTTGCCAGGTTGGCTGCCAGGCCTCCCAAGAGATCCTCTTGCTTGGATGTCCCAGTGGGGCAGGGGTGTGGAGAGACTCTTATCTGGAACTCCAGAACTCAGCTCTGCCTTGCCAAGGAAGGACGGGAGCTGGCGCTGAGCCGGGTGCAGGTGGCACTGTGCGCAAACACACACGCAACCTGTCTGGAAGGAGTGACTGCCAAGTGCTTCCACCAAAGGACTCTGTCTGCAGCATAAAGTGCAGAATGCCTTTCTGCGAGTGTGTGTGGTGGGGGGACAGGCACCCCTCCTCTAGACTGTCCGAAAACTGCCTCTGTGCCTCCTTCACCTTGGGGCAGAAGATGCAGTGGGCAAGGAAGGTCAGAGGAGGCTTGGAGCCACCCCGGCTGGGATCGCTGGCCCTGGGGCCAAGGGCAGCTGTTCTGTGCTTTGGGGCCCTTTCCTCCAGCCTCCCCCCTCCCTTGGCGTTTGCCCTCCAGCCAGACGAGAGAGGGTAAGGTGGGGGGCCCCGAGACCCAGCGGAGGATGCAAGTGGTGTGAGCCTCAAGGGCTTTAAAGTTCCGTGGACTTGCCCGTGGTGTGTGCGACACACAGAAAGGCTGCTGCACAGGAGAGCAAGGGATCAAAAGTGGGAAGGTCTATGAGGATCAAGCCCCACTGAGCTGGGGCCGAGTAAGAAAATGGTGTTTGTTAAAATGGTGCTACTTGAATCCTTGACCCCGCTGTCTTCTTGGCTGCTGGGCCTGGGAGCTCTTAGCACAGCCAGTGTCCCCGCTCACATTGATTTGAGGCTGCCCCACTCGACTGCACGCGGGTCTTCCTCTCTGCCAGAGATTTCTCGTGACAAAAGGCTCCGGGTGGTGGACAAGACCAGCTTGAAGCCTTCCCATTCTCACAGTGCGTTTCAAACCTCTGTCTAGCTAAAGCTTCAGATCACAGTGGTATGCGTGAGCTTCATTTTCTCTCTTTCTCTGCACCTCAAGATCGCGTGAGTGACCAGAAGGGCTGAGGGTGGTCCAGCAGTGACCAGGTATCCCCTGAAGGGAGCCGTCATCTCAGACCATTAAGTCCTGGGCACTGTCTCTTTCATCCACTCCGATGGGAGCCAGGCACCCCATTCTTTTCCCCCATGTGCCCGGCCCCTTCTGCCTTGGCTGAAGCTGCCAGGCACCCCAGCCACGCCAGGAACGTATTTTCTGTCACAGACAGAGTTGGGGGCTAAAGTGAGTGAAACCTGTCTCCAGCAAGCAAAGGCCACCCTGACTCCGCGCTCCACCTCCCTCTTCCAGTAGTGGTTAAGAGCGCAGACTCTAATCTGGGAGAACCGGGTTTGATTCCCCATCCCCACTCTTCCACATGCTGGTGTGATCTTGGGTCAGTTACAGGTTTTTTCAGGAGCAGTCTTTGAAAGAGCTCTCTCAGCCCCACCTGCCTCACAGGGTATCTGCTGTGGGGAGGGGGAGGGAGTTTGTAAACTGCTCTGAGACACCTTTGGGTAGTGAAGGGCGGGGTATGGATCCAATATCCCCTCCTCCTTCCACTGACCTCTCATTCGCCCCCCCCCCAATCCCTCGCATTCCTACTTCTGGCAGAGCCAGGGATTTCTACTAGCTCCTGCTCAGCTGGGAGCACCCCACCTCAGGCGGGCTACAGGACGCTTGCCCACAGAAGTCCAAGGAGACCCTGTTGTTCTCCCCGTGTCTCTTTTGTTGCTCCCAGGGCTCTGAGGAGTGCATTATGACATACTGAGTCACTGCAGTTCCTTTGCCTGGCATTCTTCAAGCCCGCAAGGTATTCCCACGGGCAGTGGCCAGTGGGCACCCGTTGCCTACTGTTGGCAATGTCTCCAGAGTAAAATCCGTGCTCCAGCCTCCCCTTCCTTGCTAGCTCGTTCTGGTGTTTCACCTTCTTCCCGTGAATTTGACCTGCAGACGTCCAGCTTGCTTCAGACAAGGTGACTTGGCAGAAGCAACACCTGACTCAGCAGATGCACCTCTGCTGCATTCAGAAAGCCCAAGTTGGCAGCTTCTGCTTCAGGCTGGCAAAGAGCTTTTCCTTCCTGGGGTGTGACACCCAGAGCCATCCCCCCCCCTCCAGTTTTATATGAGGTTTGTTGTAAGGTGTTCTGTGAAGCAGGGTGCCCAGCCCACGCTGCTGTCGGTCATCAGCCCTCCCGCAACAGTGCCCAATGGTGCCTCTCGCCCAACCCCTCTTGTCCTCCTGCCCCTCCTCAATCTCTCTCCCCGTCACCCTGCCGCACGTGCCTGTTGCATTCAACACTCTGTGCCGCTGTCTCTTACACTGAGCCGTTTCGCCCCTCTTCTTTTTTCAGCTTTTGCACACGTTCTGTAAACGTAGCCTTCTCCGAAAGTGGAACTTGTTGCATGTACGACCCGCTTTAGAAACTCAGACAGACACACTGCTCCCCCCCCGCCCCATACAAGGAGACCAGCCTGGCAGTTATATATTATTTATTTTTATTTAGACATTTTTACCCCGCCCTCCCCGCAAGCGGGCTCAGGGCCGCTTACAAGGGGCACAGGCCCTTGCGGAAGTGAATCTATTTGGTGAACAGGACCATGTGCAGGTCACCGGGGACATTCTGAATGGGGGACGCGGAGGAGCAACAGGTACACTTCAGAGGCCGTGCCAGAGGAGGCACCAAGGCAGACACAGTTTGGGTATATCAGAGTTACAGCGGGGTGTGTGTGAGAAAGATGTGGCGAGGGCACTAGCATTCCAGGTGATGAGGAGGATGACAAAGCTCAACATGTATGAGAAAGAGGGTGGCAAATGATCCCTGGGTGGGGGAGCAAAACCCGTTGTTTTTTTCCCCTTGAGTGTGCAAAAGACTTTATGGGCTCTAAAACACTCATCAAAATCCAGGGCCTTCTCCACGCCGTGGTTGCCTGTTTTGCTGAGCCTTCCCTTCCATGCCAGGGTCAAGGAAGGGACTTGTTGGAATGTGTGTGTGTTTGTGCACATTATATAAAGGAACTCTTTTCTTGCGCCGTGGTTCTAGCTTCAGGAGAACAAAGCCAGCAGCCACGGCTGTTTTGCGTGACCAGAACAGGCCGGCCTCTGCTCTGCTGCTGAGCCTGGCACCATCTGACCCGGAGAAGCAAGAAATGCACATTGCCAGCTCCAGCTGACCCCCCCCCCCAAACCCGGGTTGTGTGAGTGGGAGGGGGGGGCGCAACTACTTTTGCCTACCTGTCACTGGGCATGACCTGGTCCAGAGCTGGCTCTCTGAGGGCGAGGGCCATTTCAATGGCTCGTTCATCCAGTGTGTGTGTGTGTGGGGGGGGGGTTGTTCCTGTGGCTCAAGGAAGACGTTGCCACCTGGGCCTCAGAGCTATTAACGAAAGTTGTGCTGGTGCTCCTGGGCCCCGACTTGTGCAAAACTGGAGGTTTGCCACAGGCTGTTCCTACGTCACAGCACTTGTTTTAGAGATGACTGTGCCTCCCCTCTGCATTCTGCCCTGTTCCTTCTGACCTGCACTCATTGCACACCCTGACAAACATTGCCGCAGTACACGGAGTGCAGGTGAAGAAGCAAACAGGCCCGCCAGTAAGCCCCTGGGCTGCCTGGACTAGGCAAGAGGTGACTCCAGGCCTTTGCAGCTTGCAGGTGGTGTGTCCCACGGTCCCTGCTTCCCTAAGCCGGCTGGGCCGATCTTGTCAGATCGCAGAAGCTAAGCAGGGCCGGCCCGGGTAGTGTCCTTGGATGGGAGGCCACCAAAGAAGTCTGGGGTTGCTACGCAGAGGCAGGCAGTGGCCAACCACCTCTCACCTCCTCCTGCTTTGAAAATCCTACGGGGCTGCCAGGAGTCATCTGCGATTTGACGGCCCTCTCCGCCACCCTCACGGTCACTTCTGGCCCTCCCTTCCCTAGCCCTGGGTAGGGACTCTACCTCAATGTGGGCCTTCCTAGAACACCAGTTGCTAATCACCGGGGGGGGGGGGGGGGGAGAGGAACAGCTCCTACCAAATCCAGACCTGTGGCTTTAAAGACCAGGGAGGCTAGCCGTGCTGTGCTGTGCGCCTGCTAGCAAGGATGGCACCTTCCACTGGGGCACAACGTGGGGGCCTGGGGGACGGTGCCCTGATGACAGATGCCAAGCGCAGGCCTGGAAACACGACAGCTGCACTCCCAGGAGCCTCTCTGTCTTCCGCCAGTGCTCGGGGCAGGCTGCAGCCGTCTTTCTCCCCACGGTGCTGGGCAGGCACCAGCAGCCACTGCATTGGCCGGCACACCCTTGTGAGCTACAGAGGAGGCTGGGGAAGACCGAGCCCTTCCGGGGGCGCCTTCTCTGCCGCCTCCTGGAGCCCCTCTTAAAAATAAGCGGCAGGGCTCTCCAGCGAATCCCTGCAAATCCTGGCAAGCAGCTGTGTGTGGCCTGGCGACCCAGGATGGATTTGGGAGGCAGCTGCTGTCCCCCCTCCCCCAGGAGGCTCATGTGTCGCTCGGGCATGAGGCACTAGCGTTTCCACTGCAGCTGGCTGCATTTGCCCTGTGGTCAGCAGATGCTTATCTGTGTTCGGCCGTGAAACGGC